CCAAACCCACAATGGCTATGATTAAAAGCCTCTCTTAACACTCACAGGGTGAAAGAGTCAAAAATAAAAAAAATGAACAAAAATTAATATTGAAAATTACTTGTATGCACTTATTTAAAAGTGAGTATAACTTTGATACATAACTTGCATATAAACACTGTAAACCATTATCACATAAGTTATAGTATATAATATTATATCTAAATACATATAACTCTTAACTTAAAATCTCAATTCATGTTAAAAAAATCCGCTTGAAATTTCATCAAATAATATTCTTCAATGTTGACAGAAATAAAAAAAATCAATTTCTACAACAAGATTAATCAAATGAATTAAATACAATAAATAAATACAATAAATAAATTATAAAAGTGTAAATATGCTGTGTTATTAAATTGAGAAAAAAATTGAACTAAATTTATAAGAATATTTTTACAACTATTATTCAAATATGAAAGAATTAAAAACAAATGAATGCTAGAAGATTATATAATAGACAAATAAAAGTAAAAATAATAAATTAAAAAATTTTCATAATACTCTTTTGATTATTATATCTGTATCTCTTTCATCATTCATGACAGAGTAACAATATTTCAAAACATAAAACTTGGAAAAACTTTACTTTTCATTTTATGTAATTACATTTTATATATATATATATATGAAAATATTACTACATAAAATAGAAAGTGACTGCTCTGTGAGAACTTGTAGAATTGAATACTACTACACAATAAAATTGTGTAGTAGATACTATGGTCTGTAAAAAATAAAAAAACATTCATTAATTTTACATCTTCAGTTTGAAATCTTTTAACTATTGCTATGGATTGTTAGTGTTGTGCTGTATAAGATAAAATGTCATCTTTGTTTCTACAATATCTGATTTATCATGCAAATTTCAAATATCAGAAATTCAGAATTCATCATTTCTTATGGGAAAAATTTTAACTCATTCCTGGCATATAACAATAAACAACTAATTTCTCAAAACGACAATGAAACACTGAAAAATAAAATAAAATAAAATAATGCTATTTACCTATCAGTTCATGTTTTAGCATGACATTAAAGATTAAAAACCCAATTACCACTACCAAACCACTTAATGAGATCATTAATTAAAGAATATGTTTGTAAGCAATAATGCAATAAATTTGTTCATTACCACTATTAGAAATTGTATAAGAACTTCATTTTCTTTAATACACAGAAATATGTACTGTTACCTAATGATACTGTATATTTTAAATTAAAATATTACTGTATAAAAACAGAACTACAAAAGTAGCATACTGTACTGAACTGTTAAGAATAAGTTCACAAGACTGTACCGACATTTAGTTATAAAAGTCACTAAATGCACAATAACAGCAAAACACAGATACGACACTAATGAAACAAATAAAAATGGATACTGGAAATGGAATGAGTCATTACTTCCTACTTTCACTAATACAGATTTTGAATTTTTCTCAATGTACTATGGAAAACTTTATAATGCTGAAATTATTTGATTTGGATATTAGAATGATACTAAAGAACATCGTTCATTATAGCAGGAATTTGGATATAGAGAGTTCAAATATCAGGATATGGTTGTACAATGTTTTCTTTAATGCTAAATTTTAATGTTTTTAATTAGAAATCAAACATGCAAAACAAAAACTACTATAAATTTGTACATTCATTCCATCTCTTTACAATGGGATAGCTTCTCTTTAGTAAGTGATATTTGTTTGACTAAAAACTTATACTTTGCATAAACATTTTTTGGACTAAAAGAAAAAACTTTTAGTTTTTGTGGTATATGTATTAATATTTTTGAATTAAATAAATAATAGAAAACAATTCTCATTAATACGATTTACTTTTCAGAATACTTTTAAATAAGAAACACATACAAAAATAATATTTATTGGTTCATATACATATATTGTATTCTGTTAACTTATAGTATAAATCTATACTAATTTATTTTTGAAAATAAAATTTTGTAAGAAACATTCTGAAAAATTTTTCTGAATCATCTTGTTATAAAATATCAAAAAAGGCAATCTTATTTCTTTCCACCAACAACATTTAATGATTAGACAAATGTTTTCGAAATGTAAATCAGTTAAGAATGTTTGTCTAATCATTAAATTTTATATTTCTTATTTATATTCATTTCAATCACATTAGAAAAAGTCTTTTGTCAATAGATTTCCTCCCCCTAATTAGCATTAAAATCCCAATTACTGGTAAAATATAAAAAATTATGACTAAAGTACAACAAAATAAAATACAAAACGTAAAAAATATAAAAGTATTAACAAAGAAAGGTTAAAAAAAAGTTTAACAATTATATAATATTCATTTGCAGGCTATTTTGAAACAGTTACCATCAAAGTGTAATAACCTATACATTGTTACTGGAAAGTCCTTTTGATATTTTGAAGTTTCCAGTTTGAGTTTTCTTTTCTTTTGTTTTAAAATAATAATAATTACAAAAACATTTTTGTCTTCTATAAAATATTTTAAAGAATATAGAAAAACTTTGATAAAATTTTCTTATGGATATTGTTCACAATAAAATCAGGAATATATAATAGCAATAAGAAAGAACTTATATTTTTAAAAACTAAAAAATCTTATACAAAATATTTAAATTTTAAAAAATTATAAAATTATTACAATATTATGAATTCTCTAAAAGTATTTATTAAATTACATTTTTTATATTCTGTTTCATTGCATTATGGATGAATCATTTTAATTCTTATATCTTTCAATGAAATGTAAATCAAGAATATAAATTCACTAATTCAATTTACTTTTGATTTGCTGATAAAAAAATAAATTAAAAGTTTTTTTGAATTAAACTCTCTTTTCATACTTACATGAATATTTTCTTTAAAAAAATAATATTAAATAAAATTTTCTGCATCTAAATCCAAATAAAATCACAAATATATGGCAATTCAAGGAAATGAATGATATAGTTTGTGTTAATACTTTAATATGTTTTATTTGAATTTAGAAGTTGAAAATTTTGTGGGTAACACAATTTTTCTTCTTTCTCAATATTTTACAAAGGAAAAAATTTTATTAAGAGAAAAAAATTTAATTTTACATTCCTAATTAAAAAAAACATACCTAAAATAATTTTATTAATAATGTCAACCATGTAATACCAGATAAATAATATCTTTTGTTAAAATAAAAATTTTATACAATTGTAATGAATAAATATACAAACATAATACCAAATAATCTGCTGCATTATTGGACTATAAAAAGGCTAATCTAAGAGCCCAATAATATGACAGATCATTTAGTATTAATTAAAAATTAGGTTTGTGAATTTATTGTTTACATATATTTATATAAAAACATAAAAGAGCTTCTTGTCTTGAAAATTGTTAAAACTAATATCTCAAATACAGTAGAGCATCGTNTCGGACATTTTCAAACAAACACACTAGCTTTAGAATTAAAGTTTTTTTTTTTTTTTTTTTTGTTTCGCGATCAATTTTTCCGATAATTCAAGAAAAAATTACTCGAATGTATTTATGGAATAAAACATTTTAAGTAATTATCCGTAGTTAGAAAATAATTTTAGAAAGAAATAACGATAGGAAGAAATTGCGAATGTCCTCGTACATTGTGGGTTACGATTCGCCTCGGGGCAAGTTCTAACCCCGCCATACTCGAACTTTAAAGACCTACATTGAGATATATCAAAGCATTTCCGACTAAGCAATGATGTCTCGTTAATAAATCAGACTTCTTTCATAGTCTCCTACAAGATACATATATTAAAACATTTTAAATAATTTATTACGGCGCCTTTTTTGGGAAGACAAATGTATTTTCGATAAAGGGACTATCGAAGCTTTATATAAAGATTGATTCCATTTCGATAGATTTGATCTTTTGTTTATTCTCCATCCAAATGGATGTCAATAGAAGTTGTCGAATAGAAGACCCAACACTTAAAGCCTGTATTGATAAGAGAAGAAGGAATTCTAACGATAAGGACCTCGAAGCTATTTAAACATCCACTCTGAAGGAAAGACAAAGCCTGCTTCAATCTTCTTAGTAAATAGCATGTTTAATTCTGAAACAAATTACTTAGATTTATAGCGCTTTCTGGCAAAATCCCGATGGTAACAATCGTAACGTTAGCTAGATAGGAGGCCATTACAAATGACAAAGCACCCTGGCCAAAAAAAACTCTCTGATAAATAGCTTAACCATCGTTGTGGATGATCTTTTATCGAATCTCTGCTTACTTCAAGGATTTTTTTTTAAAGAAATATTTCCGTTTTCTACGTCCCGAAGAATTTATTTTTAACTTTTAAATAATAATTGTAGTTCTTAGAGTTATTTTAACAATTTTTCTCAATTTTTTTTCTTTTCTTTTCCTTAGAAAAATGCCCGAGTGTGAGGAATTTGGCGATAAAATAATATACATTTAGTAAAAATTCATTCGACTCGAAAGAAATTTGGCAGGAAAAGACTTTAAACAATGAATAAATTTATTTATTTTTTTATTAAAGGAAAGATAAATCTTGCGATTACAGAAAATTGATTTCCTGGAAGATTATTCTATTGCATATATTATGAAATAATTATTTATTGATTGGTATACGTGAATATTTTTATATTGTATACTATTTAGTTCTAGTAGGAAAAATTGTATATTGCACTTCTCGAAGAACTGATTTAAAAAAAATAATAATAATAATAACAAGTTGACCCGAATTTTTTCATTATAAAATTACACAAAAATTATTTATATTTAACTTAAAATAAAGAATTTCTTAGAAGTGTATAAGTACGAATTTAGTACAAAATTACAACAATCGAAGTGTACAAAAAAAAGGTTCTATTTTCCGTGACGTCACACTATTCTATTGCATAATTTGAAAATCTTCGACACATAAAATTTTATGCGGCAGATGGCGCTGAGAGGAGGGTCGACACCAATTGAATCCCCCATACACACGCACGCACACACACACACACACACAACTGCGAAATGCATAGGTGATAGCAGTAACCAGTCGAGCTTGTACTTTGGTGTAAGCAGATGTCACTTTGTACAATGCGGGTGTAGCAACCTACAAACTTTTCAAATGTATCGGTTTAGTGTCCTGTTTAGCGTTTTTCTCTTAATGGATGCTGCAACTGCCGCTGAAGGCGACGTGTGTTATAGTACAGGAGGTATCGCCGGAATTGTCTTGGCTACAATTGCGGTGACACTTATCACATCTGCAATAGCCCTCTTCGCAGTTTGGTATTTCTACAATAAACGTTCAGGTATTTATTATAACTTTATATATACATGGTTGAAAATAATGTGTTACGGGTATTGCAGTTTTCAAATTTATGACCGCGCGTTATTTAGTAGGGTAAGTGACAAACCACAGGCTAGTTTTTTTTTTTTTTTTAACAAGTTATTGCGTGATGATCTTGTTACCCACTTGCCCATTTTCTTTTAATGCCGCCATATATTTCCTCAGATTCGAATCTTCGCTCTCTTAAATTATTAAGAGTATGTATTCTATTTAATTATTCCTTTTTGTTTTATTTTCTTAAATGGATTAAATGATATCTCGATGGCTCTTTTCCACTACTTTCTTCCTCTTTTTTTTTTTGAGTTAAATATCGATCTCACACATATACACAACTATTTCTATTCCGTCACAGATCTCGAATGGACTTTTTTTTTATTTAATAGTTTGCACACCTGTTTTCTCTTTACTACCTGTAGATCAAACTCGTTCAATTGTCAATGCTTTTATCGCGTATTTCTGAAAACTTAGTTTAGAATAATTTTCCTATTATATTTTATCGTCTCAATGAGTTTTATTCCAAGCGAAAAACTCCAAAATGTCGATACAAAAACAAAAAAAAAAAGTGTTCTCTGCAATATATAAAAATAACTGAAATATATTTTAATAAACGTACTATAAAAATATAACTTAACTGGGAGAGAATGATATGAATTCAAATGAAATTTTATAGGTTATTTACTTTTCTGTTGAATAATAGACCTGTTTTCATGCCACTTTTTAAACTGTTAAATTTGCATATTATTTAAGTAAAGATTAAAATTTTTTAATCTACAAGAACGTAAATATAAAACTTGTTCTGAATCGTATAAAGTATGTAAAGAATACACNACTTAAGTGTTTGCATATTAAAAATGGCGATGGTTTAATTAATAAAATATTTTCTTAGCATCTAAAATGATGATTCAGGTAACTAATTTCCAAAAATATATTCTTTTCATTCGTTTTTTTCCCCTCATTTCTGTGTATAATGGTTCACTGTACGTTTTATATTGCCATGCGGAAATATTGTATCCGTTATATTGTTCGCAGTCAGGACGGTATCAAAGATTTTGGCGTTGGATTATAAACAGATAAAAAAGAGATTAGAATTGGTTATCAACAGTATCGTGCGGAGATAAATTCTATTTAATAAATCACATTATGATGTTATATCGGACAATGACGCTTTTGGAATTTCCTACAACCTCCCCTCAAAGATTTTTTTTCCACGTAAAATGTCTAAAGAGAGAGGAAACTATAAGGCCATTTAAAAAAAAAAAAAATAGATATATATATATATATATATTCGTGTGCCAAACAAAATAAAAAATTTTTCATATTTTCGACCTAATTATACAAAAAAGAATTGCCTTTTTGTAATATATTTTTCGGATCTAAATTAAGTTTAGTATCATGGATGCTCCGGTATGTCGAAATTGTACCTGTACGCCTCCGGTAATATCCATGCATATACACTGGTTAGTGAGCTTTTTTTTTCATCTGTAAGCTTTTCTCGGGGGAATAACAACGTCAACAAACTTTAGAAGAAACTAAAAGGGGCGCTGCCTCTTGTATAAAAGGTCCTCTATCCCCGAAGGGCGTTATCTATTCTTGTGTAACGCGATGACGATTTTCAACGACGTAATATCGGTGTGACGTATTAAAAAAAAAAAAAAAATGGTAAACAATCTCTATGAAATTTTAGTATTTTGGCGCAATGCCACCCCTTGCCACGTTTGTTTTCTGTAATTGAAAATATTTTAATAGTCATATTTCATACAGAAATTCTCCTCGATTGATTATGGAGCTTTCTAGATGTGAGTTGTTATACAGTTATTCTTTCGTATCTTAGAGGAAAATTTATGATATTATTTTATAATACTATAGTAAATCTAAAAGTTTAATTTTTTTTTTATTTTTTTAATTTCACAGTCGTATTATTATCAGTGAAAATGCAACACAAACAAACGGCCCAAGGTCGATTGTAAAAAGTGTTGCGATAGGTACGGGTGGAAATTTTTGTTTGTTTTCAATATTTTAAAGGAATTTCACACTCCGATTTATCAATAGATTTAATCGAATTGTATTAGAAATCATGATTAATTAATAATAATAATAAAAAAAATTAAAAATTTTAATATAATAATTGCATTCATTTTCGAATGTTGCGCTTGAGTTAGAACGGATGACGAGGTAAAATTCTGTTTTGTAAAATATCTCTTAAAGACATGACCTATTTTTATAATAGTCATCATTAATAATTATAGAAATACTTAGAATTTTATGTAGATAATAAAATTCGGTATTAAGAATTTGAGGAAAAGTTTTGTATTTTATTTACCCGGATGATTAATTGTTGGCATCGAATATACGATATTCAATTAAAGCAGGAAAAACGAGCTAATGGCTTGTAATCGATACGACAGCGAATTATCTGGATGGAATTTTATTATTTTAATATATATATATATATATATTATTATTATATCACACGATAAAGGAAACACTAAAGATAAAACGTTTGGCCACGACTACACGTGTCCACACATTTTATGTTAATCGGGTCAGTAGCTCAATATATATTATAATAGATAAAAAGTTCATTAACAGTAATTAATTAAAATTCTTCTTAATATTTCCTCTTAAAAACATTTATAAAATATAAACCATATTAGTTTTTAATCCTTCCTTCCAGTAATAAATGCACTTTCTCGATAACTAAAACCATACTTTATCGTATAAAATAAGTTGTGGCAAGTGTCAAAAAGTTTCATTTTTCCAAGCATACATTACTTTCGAACGTCAGTAAGTACTGTACATATATATCGTATTATATCTTGTAAGTGACAACGTTAAAACACTTAAATATAATCTTACTAATAATGTTATACTACTACATGCTATATACAAAGATGTCAGAAACAGATGAAAGGCTATACAATAACTCAGTAGTGCTTTATCTATTCAAAAATACTTTTCCTTATATATATTCTTCTCCTTTAGATACGCTGCTCTGCTGGAAAGAATTTTTTATGCAAAACAATGTAATAAAGTATTATTCGTCAGCGAATACTTTCGTCATTGTGTTTATAAATTTCAAACAATAAACAATTCCGTTATTAATTACGAACAGACAGAAGAAAAAAAATAAAACAATGCAAGAACCGTTCTAAATACCGAAAAACAAATCATTTACGGTTCCTATGTAACCTAATTTAGGAATATTTCCATGTTTTTTTTTGGCTTACTTGGTAAGTGAATCGTGTATCTATGCAATGCATTTCTGTAATAGTAATGACCTCCGAAATTCAATAATGTAATCATTATACACTCGCAATTGTATGCCATTAAATTGTTTGTTTAATTAAAACGAACTTAACACGTTCCCGGAATATAGTTTCTAGAAAGCTTTTACGTGTTTCGTAATGGAGTGACTATTTGTTTATTTGTAAATTTAAACAGAAACGTGTCGATGCACACCTGCCGCCATTATTACAGCAGTAAATATTTTTTTCCCTGGCTTTTGTTAAGTGTTTTAAAGATTCTGAATTTTCGATAACCAGGTTAAATATGCAGACGTCTCGAATACAACCATGTAAGGAATGTATTCTGGAGGGAGGAAACCTAGTTTTAGTCGGAACGTGACTGAAGTAGCATACCTGTACGACTCTGTGGGTGTGGACGACTCTTTCAAGGACATCCCTTCTTTGTTATCTCTTCCGATTCTTGTCTTTTTGGGATAAATTATATAACCCTTAACCGCTCCGAATGGTTTTGAGGTGAAGCTAACATAAAATCGTAGACCATAAGCTAATCCAGCTGCAAGATTTCTAACCAGATGTTCGACAATTAACGTGATTTATCTGACCTTTCTCTAAGTAACTAACAATCACGCCTTTTTTTTCCATTCGTTTTTCACAAAAACTAATCGTCGGATTTTCGTAAAATATAATCAATATTGTGATTCTTTTTTTAAAGTTTATTAAATATTTTAATACCGATATTTTAATACCGAAAATTAATTACTTAATAACGTAGAAAATTACTTTATGCCGCCAATTATTCGACGTTCACGCCGTGTCAAAGGTAACGTTTGTTAAATTTTCACTTTCGTGACACAAGTCGGCGTGTGCCTCATCATTCACCCATCACCATCTTTGTTCGTGCAAGATCATTGAATTAATTTACCGAAAATTTACATGGTTAAAAGTATCCTTTCCCCCCTCTCTCTCTCCATTCTATTAATTAAGAACTGCAGACTTACTAGTGTAATAAAAAATTTTTCCATGTATAAACTATGGAAATTATGATAAAAAATATAAGCGGAAATATTGGAAAATCCCACAAAGTTAAACTGGGTCAAACAGATCGCACGGACAGCTTTAATTGTGTATATAAATAAAGGCCTTGCCCGGAGGCCATTTTTTCCAAATAATCTAAACAAACTGAACTTAGGGCCTTACGTTATTAATCTATAGTTTAGGGCCTCATATTTCTACGCGTATCATTATTTAGTGGAAGAAAAGGGCCTTTTATATGTTAGATCTTTAGATCTACAAGTCTATGGGAACTTCAGTTAAATAGACTATTAATCTTATTTAATAATATTTAAAATAAAACATGATAAATGAAATTTTTTTTAATGATGAATTTGTTAAATTTAATTTTATCTATATCATCTTTATTAACGTACAAATATTTATATATCGAGAAAAATAATTTTAAAATATAATATTTTAATTATATTGTTTTAGTAGTGGTACTTTTTTTTATATTAAAAATTAAAGCAAATTGATGGAATGGAATGACACATTGAAACCACGTGAGATTGATCAATAGTTTTAAGATCTAAATGAATGGAATTTCAAGAATAGAATTCCTATTAACTCTTTCACATTCTTCATCCAAACACGCATATAGCTTTTATAATTATTTAATTTATTATTTTAATATCGTTAATGAAATAACGAAATTATTATTGAATTATTACAGCTTCCATATGTCATCTGCCACCAAAACCTGGACCGTGTGATAGGTATTTTCCGAAATATTTTTATAATCCCAAGACGGGAACTTGTCATCTTTTCATTTATGGAGGATGCGGTGGAAACGATAACAGTTTTTCTACAAGGTCTCAATGTTTAAATGCATGCCGTGGTAAGTATAAAGAGTGACGTGTAATATAAAATATTCTCAATTTATATATATAAATCGCTTGTATAAAATCGCTAACAATTTGGGCCAAATTACATTTAATATTTGAAGTATTCTACATCTAAAATTATATAAAAACATTGTTTTAAAATACGATAGAGACATAAACAAGCGTATACTATAATATATCAATGTAGTAAATCTAAAATTGGAGCTAAGATCGATAAGATTTCATAAAAGTTGTAGCAGTTCATATACAATGGTGAATTATTGTGGTCGAATGTAATGCTATACACAATGATCAGCATTTAGGTCAAGGAAGTGCATCATGCAGCACACATTTATTATAGTTAAGTTTGAAAGCTCTGATATAATTCGTAAAATAAAATAATAAAAGAACATATTAATAAAAAATTCTATCAAATTCTTATTTTATTTTATTTTCTTTTACAGGATTANATATGGCGAATCCATCATTTTATTTCATCATCAATCATCATCATCAATTTCGTTCGCATTTATTATATCTATTGTCGGCCTTGTCGAGTCATGAGAAGTCTCCACGTGGATTATAGCCTACGTCAATTACCAAAACCCCGTTCGAATCACGCTTCAGACATATAAATGTTGGATATTACCTCTTAATTTTTTTTTTTTTTTATATATAAATAGAAACAGGGTTAACAAACAAGAACAACCTGGCTGAAAAATTCAGTTCATTCCTTCTCCTCGTTTTTCATTTCTTTAATAACAACCGAGCGAATTAGTGGGCAAACTTGATACATAAAAAATATATATATATTTATTATCACGATCGATTTATCATCAAGAATCAAATTATCTTAACTACAAGCCCGAACGGTTAAATAAGAAGAAAAAAAAATTAAACTAAAGATCCGTCTCTATTTTATCTTCTTAAATAAAATTTACTCTGTAAATTTGCTCCTCCGAATCATTCTCATCACGTTCTGTCTCTTTGTTCATCGATTGACTTTTATACATTATATACAAGCATTTAATAAAATATTTAGCGGTAAAATATGCGTAATTCGAGTACTAGACACTAGTTATTCAACTTTTAACTTTAAATCAGGTCAAGTATCACCCACGGTCTTTATAGACCTATATAAATATCTGGATGGTAAGTTATTATCGACTGGTAATTAGTATTCTTCTTGTATTATACAATGTTTAAAGAAGAAAACAAGGTCGTTCTATTAAGTTCACCTCCTTTTAGTGACGAACAGCTGTTTCCTCCGATGTTTTCAAGTGTCAATATTGTTACGCCTACTTAATAACACACAGTAATGTGGAATTGACCTATTTGATCGAGAGTCAGACATGGCAGAGATAAGCCCACGTTGTAAAAAGAAAAAAAAAAAAACTAGTGAAGTTTACCTTGGTAGACGAATCAGTAAAGATGATAGAAAAATGGAAATGCTTAATAGAATTTTAAAATATTCATTCCGAATGCTTCATTTTGAACGTCATCTTGGTGATCATGAATATTGCAAAAATAAAAAAAAAGAGGAAAAACTTCTCTACCATAATAACAGATATTATAATAATACTTTTTTTTAACTCTCTTAGAACAGAACTCCATAATATAGGCCTATTATTCAACTCTATTGTTCGATTTTCGTGCATATTTTTAAGAATGTATTACATTGAAAAGTCGGTGTACAACCTGTAATTAAATCTCCAATAACATTAAGAAAAATCTTACGAAGCGCAGTTATCTACGATAATTGATTGGAAAAATATCCGTCTACTTAAAAGAATGAGCTATATAGAAGAGTAATTACAGTATTTTAATTACAATAGAGGTTAAAAATACGGTACACGTTTCGATTTTAAAATTATGGTGTATTTTTTTTTTTTTTTTTTTTGTCGAGAATTAAACAAGAGCAGCGGATGATAAAAGAGTCCAGGAAACGACAAAACTTCAAACATTAGGTCACAAAAGGTGGATGATTTCATACAGAAATTCTCCTCGATTGATTATGGAGCTTTCTAGATGTGAGTTGTTATACAGTTATTCTTTCGTATCTTAGAGGAAAATTTATGATATTNGAGAATTAAACAAGAGCAGCGGATGATAAAAGAGTCCAGGAAACGACAAAACTTCAAACATTAGGTCACAAAAGGTGGATGACGTGTACCTGTGACCTTCAGCTATTCCTACTTCCTTTGCAAAGTACGCATTTTCGAAGCTTAGGGGCTATTTCGACGACCCGGTTGAGATCGACGGGTCGAAGTTTCTTTCCTACATCGCTTCTACCATCACAATTTATGATAGAGACGAACTCCGAAGCGTTCGAAGTATGCAACTTTTAGAAAAGATTAAGTCATTCCTATCTTGAAAAACTTTATCATTTTTACTAATCATTCTACAATTTTTCGTCTCGATAAACAATTAATTTTTAAAATTATTTAAAAAAAAAATGAATCTAAATAACTGTCTAAAGTCCAATCCTAGTCACATAACTAAAATATTCCTGTGTACATGTATAATGTTTCCTATTCTCTTTATGGTTTAGTTTACTGGATTTTCTACTATTGTAACTTAATTTTTTTTTTTAATTTATTAACTTTTATGCATGTTTTACGGCACGCAAACATAAATATTATATTAAATTGATTAATATTTATTTTTCTGTTTATAATTTTAGCCAGAAGAAATGGAGTAGAAGAAGAAAATCTCTCTCAAAAAGCAATTCCAGAATTAGACAGTAAATATGCTTTTGATAATCCGTATTTCAGAGACGACGAAACGGATAAAGCGACGGTGGATGATGCGGAAAAAGGTAATCAAATCATCATCATCATCATCATCATCATCCTTTCAACAGCATCTCAATTTATATGAAAATAATGGATATTTTACAAGTTTTACAATCTTAAATTTAAAAATTTTGTATATAATATAGCCTATATAAATTTTTTAAAGTTTATATAGGCTATCACGGTAAATTAAATTTGCACATTCATTTAATTATAAATAGATATATTTCCTCAAATAATCGTATTAAGCAAATATTTATATTAATTTTTCGTAATTCACCATGTTTATATAATAAAAAAAAACTTGCGATAAAATTTTTGTTTATCGTTCGTAAAGACAAATTTTTATTTTTTTTAAAATGTTCGTTCTAAAAAAATATTAAAATAGTCGATAAAATAGCGATTTATTTACATAAATGCGATGATAATAATGTATTAATAATACAATTTTAGTTTGTTTTATTAAGTAAACTAGACTAAACATGACCTAAAATATATATTTTTTTTCTTATCCTGGTTTAATTATAACAATTTATTCCAATTGATAATCTGTTAAAGCGCTTTCCTTTGTTTACTTTGCCTGATTTTTACATTATAAAGATCTTCTTTTCCATTGTGAGAATTCTCCTGTTTCGAACCCAACATCAGTTCCTTCCGCTCTTTCGATCAATGAATATGGCGAATCCATCATTTTATTTCATCATCAATCATCATCATCAATTTCGTTCGCATTTATTATATCTATTGTCGGCCTTGTCGAGTCATGAGAAGTCTCCACGTGGATTATAGCCTACGTCAATTACCAAAACCCAGTTCGAATCACGCTTCAGACATATAAATGTTGGATATTACCTCTTAATTTTTTTTTTTTTTTATATATAAATAGAAACAGGGTTAACAAACAAGAACAACCTGGCTGAAAAATTCAGTTCATTCCTTCTCCTCGTTTTTCATTTCTTTAATAACAACCGAGCGAATTAGTGGGCAAACTTGATACATAAAAAATATATATATATTTATTATCACGATCGATTTATCATCAAGAATCAAATTATCTTAACTACAAGCCCGAACGGTTAAATAAGAAGAAAAAAAAAATTAAACTAAAGATCCGTCTCTATTTTATCTTCTTAAATAAAATTTACTCTGTAAATTTGCTCCTCCGAATCATTCTCATCACGTTCTGTCTCTTTGTTCATCGATTGACTTTTATACATTATATACAAGCATTTAATAAAATATTTAGCGGTAAAATATGCGTAATTCGAGTACTAGACACTAGTTATTCAACTTTTAACTTTAAATCAGGTCAAGTATCACCCACGGTCTTTATAGACCTATATAAATATCTGGATGGTAAGTTATTATCGACTGGTAATTAGTATTCTTCTTGTATTATACAATGTTTAAAGAAGAAAACAAGGTCGTTCTATTAAGTTCACCTCCTTTTAGTGACGAACAGCTGTTTCCTCCGATGTTTTCAAGTGTCAATATTGTTACGCCTACTTAATAACACACAGTAATGTGGAATTGACCTATTTGATCGAGAGTCAGACATGGCAGAGATAAGCCCACGTTGTAAAAAAAAAAAAAAAAAAAAAAACTAGTGAAATCAGTAAAGATGATAGAAAAATGGAAATGCTTAATAGAATTTTAAAATATTCATTCCGAATGCTTCATTTTGAACGTCATCTTGGTGATCATGGAAAAATTCCTAATGGTTAACCGAACAAGTTGAGTAGTAATACGAAGAAAGCGCGTACTCTATCTTCAAAAAAAAGTGCGGTTATGCAACCGCAAATTCATTAGAAAAACAATACCAATCATATGTCGAAAGCTTTATTCTGGATTTGGCTCCTAGTCAGGAAATTCCAGTTGGTGACGAGTGTGTGTGTGTGTGTGAGTGTGAAGTAAGGTCATTTTGTTTGGTCTTCTCGGCAACTCGGTCCTCTTGAAGGTCAAAATAAGATCAAATGTAAAAGAAATCGTTAAGAGACAACGAATATTACTTTCTTAGAAATGACTCGCTATAGTAATTAACTTTTTTATTTTTTATTTTTAGTATATAATGCGGTTTTTTGGGTACGAAAAAGCGTTCTTTGTAATATTGTGGTCATAAACTCGTTTTTTTTCCAATGATTCTTTTACTAGTTGAATAGTTTGAAATGATAACTTGGAGGATTATTTTCTGTACTTTTCGTAAAGAAGTAATGAAAATAAAAGAGTGCATTTAATTGTTAAAGCTTTCAGATGCTTACCTGTTAGATAATATCGAACGGATATCCAAGGAGGAACTAGATATTGCGTGTTGAAGGATAAGTGACTTTGATCGGAATGTTGATAAATATCGGAAGCGAGTACCATTAATATCTAAATGTTCTATTTCGTCATCCCGTTGCCAGTAAATGGCCCCTGACTAATAGTAAACAAAGGGTTCGATTTCTTTCCTATTGAATGGTAATTACTATTGGAAAACGTTTGAAACGTAATTATAGACCATTCTCCTGCTCCCCTTTGTTTCCTTTATTAAAGAAACCGATAGGCTACCAATATCCTAATTAAACGAGAATAAAACTTCTTTTCTGGTTCTTACTTTAAGAAAGAATATAATGAAGATGGAAATATGATCGCTTAATAATATTGTATAGTTTTGAATGGATAAAAACAAAAGAAAACTACAGAATATATTGCAAAGTATAGATTATACAGAATTCTTTGATGATAAAGAATAAAAAGAATTATTTTCGTTTTACTTTAGTTATTACATCAATTAGAAAAGTTAAATTTGTGATTAACACACATCATACGTAGAAACATAATTAATTATTTAATTACAAAATAAAGTTGTAATGAGGATAACAATTATTGTAGGCTTTTTTTTTCAAGTTTAATCACCTTTAACTCGCTTTCTTGGAGATAGAAGACATAAACAGGCCACGTGTTTGAAGGATAAATTCCACTCTCTCTAGTCTGGATGCTGTGTGACATTTAAACTAACCAAACCACCATTCTCTTGAAAACACGAGGAATTTAAACATCGATAAAAGAAGGGACACGTAAATTGTTATCAATGAAGTCGAATCTGATCGTAGATAATTTCCTTTGGACAAAGGCGCCATTTCATCGTCTTCGACGATCAATGTCGTCCCATTTCGGATACCCTTGACCTCCGACCCAGCCGCGCGTCCAGGTATGCACCATCACTTTGGTGGTACTTGGCATTCCCGATGGCACTCATTTTGCTCACGTCAGCTGTTTCGTTGCTGTCAAGGTCAATTTATAGGGAAAGATATGACGTCATTATATTCCCATAAATATTTAATAAGAACTTCTTTAATTATGCATGTTTAAATTATACAAAAGTCTATCAATAAATTTTAAAAGATCCATATTATTATTATTATTATATATTTTTCTTCCAAGCCACGAAGGAAAAGTTGATCGTACCCAAAATACCAAAGCAGCTAGACTATCGATAATTGGACATTTCTAACCGTGTTATATATCGATAGGGTGCTTACAGGATTCCAATTAATATCAGTAGCAAGAGAGTTTAGCGGGGGGTTTGTCAACGACCTTTGCCTATGTAATAACAAGAAACATCTGGATACAATTAACCAAAAATTGAGTACGTTGGATCATTTTTCAAGTGACAAATAATTTCCTTCGTAAAAGTTATGCTTTTTGTACTTATAAAACGCCACCGAATTGGATTCAGAAATCTGTTTTTCGCCCCTGGAACGATACGTGCATACCAAAGAAGACACCCCGAGGCATAACAGATACAACATAAACATTCTTTCGTCCCAAGGCCGGGCCGAGTTAGCTTTCGTCTTAACGACTAAGCTAGATGCAATGCTTTTTTTTAAAAAAAAAAACATAGTATACATTGTCCACCTTAGTAACATTTCTCTCGTAAATCTTTAAATATTCAATGCAATCTTTCATTCTGTCCTCAAAAGTTAAAATATCTTATTTTACGATGGAATCTTGTTACTCTTTATATGTCTTTAATAGATTTTCCTAGTTTTCTGTCATCGTTATCGACCTTGAAATAGGTATTGGCGCGGTGCAGGTGTAACTAAAAGATTACCATTCTTAGAATTGCTGCTACATAAGAAACTTTCAAACCGTAAGAAACGAGGTTTCATAACTGGATGATGTCATTTACGGGCGGTACGTGTAAAGGGCGTACGATTTCGAAACACTCCGGAAACGGGATAAAAATTATACGATTGATTTCTCCTTTTTCTCGTTCGACAGTGCATTGAGTTGCAACGAGCATACAAGAGTTTTAACAAGTATTTACTTAGAAAACTTTCCGTGTAGTTTGTCTCAGTTTTCCTAAGCGTGCAAATATACTCGCACAACATCACGTATTGACACTTGATTAATGTATGAAGCACTCCAAGGTCCACGTTGTTTACGTCCCCGCTTCGTGTTCGACTCCACCTGTGTAACTCCTCTCCCGCATGGAATTTCTGTTAGGTTAAATATATATATAATATACGTATATTTTCTTTTTAATTAACTAACCAATCTAAACGACCCAATTGTTATAATATAGGTCTACTAATCAAAATACTACGAGCATACTTTTACCCCTGTTCCATTTATCCTCGCTATTAGTACGATAGTTTCTAAAAGTGGGGCGCGGATTGTTTATTTTGTTGCTATAATAATATCGTAACGGTTACATAAAACGAATTAATCAATCAGACAAAATGACTTAAAATTCGAACTAGACAAGATGGCGATCTCGTCGATTACATATTGACAATTACATATTGACAATAACATAGATTTTACTCGTATACGTAAATATATCTTTTATTCATCGGCTGCGACGTAAATTAAATAGGTCGTACTGTGATTAAGACAATTATTTCTGCGTGTTTCTTCACGTATATTTAAGTTTAAATAGCAAAAACGAAATAGCATAATTACAGATTTTGTGATGCAACTTTTTTTTTATTTGCGAGTTACAATGGTAGAGTCGTGTGCGAATGATGTTATATTCAATTTTTCGACACAATAGTCTATTTAATTAAAGTATTTTGTGTGTAAAAATTTCCATACCGTATCTCTCTCATTCAGGACCGATCCGAGTAAGTAGGCAACTGTCCGAGTTAAGCGATACGTAACCAAATAACCGGTATGAAACGATGTATTTGTTGCATTTATAACATTCCTCATTATTCAAATTTAATGGCACGAAAACAATGAAAGAAAGAATTCAACCATTAAAAAAAAAATGCTTCGTGTGTTAAAAGTAAGAGTTTATTTATGTTAAAAATCAAGGTTATGGATAATAAAACAAGATGTAAGTTTATTTTAAAAAAAAAAAAGTGTTCTCTGCAATATATAAAAATAACTGAAATATATTTTAATAAACGTACTATAAAAATATAACTTAACTGGGAGAGAATGATATGAATTCAAATGAAATTTTATAGGTTATTTACTTTTCTGTTGAATAATAGACCTGTTTTCATGCCACTTTTTAAACTGTTAAATTTGCATATTATTTAAGTAAAGATTAAAATTTTTTAATCTACAAGAACGTAAATATAAAACTTGTTCTGAATCGTATAAAGTATGTAAAGAATACACGAATTGGTTAAGCTATTAGAGAGGTTGCGGCCGACGTTTTCAACGCAAAAACGTGTACGTCGGACGTTCAGCGCCGCTTTCCTGTAAGCCTAGACGTTTGACAATGGCGTTTGGAACGTCAGTGGAATCATGCTCGACGTTCCAAACGCCATTTTCAAACTTCTAGACTTACAGGAAAGCGGCGCTGAACGTCCGACGTACACGTTTTTGCGTTGAAAATGTCGGCCGCAACCTCTCTATTATATTTTATAAAAGAAATTCAAACGTGGGTCGTAAAAGCTTTACCACAAGAACAAATATTGTTTACAGAAAAACATTAATGCGCTGATAATGTATAGGCTATACTGTTTGATTCGTAAAATCTTTCTAATAAAATAACGACGAGAAAAAAAAAATGTGTACAAGAGTTTAGTTTAAAATATCTCTTAAAAGAACTAATGTGCGTACTTGCACTATTAGAACAATAAATGTAGCAAATATTTACATCAAAAACACTCCATCGTCTAATGTAAATATCACAATCCTATAAATAATTCAGCGTGTCCGTAGATACCACAAAATTTTACGGATGACAAACTCGAATGAAAACATGCTTGTATCAACGTATCAGTAACACAAATTCATATTTTTCTATTGCAAAAAGAAAACCATCACTATGAAATTTAACAGTGTTTTTTTTTTTATTATTTTATAAACTTTATTCGATGTTTTAAAATTGAAATTAGAATAATACGAAGCCACGGAAAAATTGTTATCAAAACCGTCAAGAACACAATGTTTAATGGTCGGTGGTGCACATGACAAGTTACACGTGACAAATTTATTTTAATAACTGTCGGCAGAAATTGTTTTGAGAAAAATTTCACCACCTCGAAGAGATGGCTTACCACAGTTTCGAAAGATAAATCTATATGACACATCAAGCCGGTAGTTTCCGATAGGTGTGTGACTAATAGGGGAAACGCATAGCGTCATCTCCTGTCATACAAACACCCGAAACGGATGTTGGAGTACTTTCTATTCGAATATATTATCTTCTATAATAAGAACGAAGTTTTTGTTATTGATTTTTGACGGGTGACAAAGATCTCCGATCAATATCACTCTCGAAGGCTTTTCACGATTCGAATATCGGGAAATAAATAAAATACATCGAAATTATCATTCTTTTATTATTTGTTTTATTTTGCAGGGCAAGCCGGAATAACTTCGGATAACGGAACCGTGGTCCAGCCAAATTTTACGGTAAGTTTCTCATAATGATTGTCCCATATTCATTCCTTGGTTGCTTTTACTCCGTCACACTTCCCCCCTCAGGGTCGAATTTCATTATTCATCTTACCAAATAAACAAAGTCTAACCATGCAGTCCACGTACCGGAAACTTGGCATTGTTGACAGTACGCATTCTTTCACCTTTTCCAACCGAGAAGACTACCTTTGCCTTCTCTATAACAGAATGTTCTCCACCTAACACACGGTCAATTATTCTTTAAAAAGTTCTAAAAAATATATATATATATTCTCTTCTCGCACGTAGACGTCGATCGATACTCGATTAAATTAATTTTGAGAAGTCGACTTAAAAGTTTTCCTTATCCTGAAAACTCTTCAGGCAAATTGATATCGCTTCTCAATGACGAGGGTTTTGACCTTAATCTTAAGTCGGACGCATTCTGTTAACTTAATTATTCTGTTTTAGTTTCTATAATTAGAGTAAGGTGCTTCTCGGCAATATAATTTATTATGAATGGAAACGAGGACAGTCGATTATCTTAAAATGCTTTCTCGATTAAAGTTTCGATATATCTGATCGTAAATTCCTTTAGATTAAATCGTAACGAACTACCGATTCTAATTAAAAAAAAAAATAGGCCCAATTTAATTAAATAAGGTCGAACGTTACCGTCCAATGTTTAATATTTATAATCCAGACTTTGGAAACTTTTATATTTTCCGAATATTTCCTTTGTTCGGTTCTGATACTTGGAACGTTTACAATCTTTCTACAAATGTTCTTTTTGATCTGCCAATTTTTAAATTGAATGGGTAACTTAATCTCATATCTCATCCGTTATATATTTTTTCTTCCTCTTTTGGAACGAAAACAAATCAAAATTTCCCTTTTTTTATGGTCAATACGCGGGTCTATCTTCCCCGTAATTCTTTTCTTAAATGTTTTTCCTTCTGTCTCTTATCGATCTAAAAAGTTAAATGTTATTTAAACGTTAAATTTCCTCTTACACGTTCATTATATCTTTTGAAACGTTTAAATATATTTTAATACATTTACTGCTTCTAATTCCATTATTTTTTTTTGTATTAATTCTATCATTTATCTCCAATGACTGTATCATCAATTCACTCTGACTTCGGGAACATTACAGCATATTGATTAATTTCACTGCTTAATAGACTTTTTTTTTTTAAAGTAAATTTTTTCTTTAATTATATTAACTTATAAAATAAATAAAATTTATAGCGTAAAATATTTTTTCTAGGTATTTCCTCCAAAAAATAAAAAGTTGAAATTAGCTAAAAATCATCCTTTCTCTTCAGTATTCCACGGAGTGAAGAAACAAAGAAGTCGAGATGATTCTTATTTGGCTGTAGTAAGTTCTTACTGTGGATAGCTAAATGATATTCGATAAGAATTTCGCATATGTAATGAATTATAAATATTCTTTTGTAGGAACCGGAACGAATAACGGTACCTTTAAGAGGACACGATTTTACCGGTTTAGGTTTCAATATCTGTGGTAATATGAGAGATGGAATTTTTGTCAAAGACGTTCTGCATCACGGACCGGCCAGCGAATCCGGAAAGATTAGAGCTGGTAGAAAACACGTACCATTCTTTTCTTTATTCTACTTGCTTCTACGCATTCTAACACATAATTTCTCGTTTTATTATAGGAGACCGCATTCTGAGCGTGACCGTATCTTTCAATAATATGGTATACGAGGACGCTTTAACTATTTTGAGTTACGCTTCCCCTTATAATGTTCACTTAGAATTGGCCAAAGCTACCGAAAAATCACAAGTAATGCCCACTTCCCCGGGTAAACGCCTAGGATCTGTAAGTTTTCGTTCCGGAGGACAGAGATTGTTTCATCCTTTATATCGTAGTCAGTCTATAGATGACTTGACACAAATTGGAAAAGAGACTTATCCCAATCAAGAACTGGCGCCCAAGAGATCTCAGAGTATTGGTTTGACAACCAATCAAAAACCCAACAGACCATATTTAAGAAATGCCGACAGTCTACCCGAAGAAGCTGATAGATCGGCAGCAGCTTTAATTTCCACGGGTTCCCTAGATGAAGAGGCACTAGCGGTACTTGCGGAAGAAACTTTACAAAAGTCACTTTCATCCGATTCGAAATTGGAGTTTATAGAAGATACGGATTCTTGTAAAGTTCAAGACGATAACGTTCCAAAAGACGAAGAAGAATCGAAAAATTCCAACTTAGTCTCTCCAGAAGATGTCAAAATAACTTTGACCCATTCGGAAGAGAATGATAAATATGATTCAGATAAGGAGGACGATAAACCTCCTCAACCGTATCCACGTAGAGGTGGAACACCCGGGAAAAGAAAAGCACCTGCGCCACCCAAACCACCCCACGGTAATTCTGCAGAAACCATAGCACAAATTCATCAAGTGGATTCGGATGAACTTGACTGTAAAAATTCGAAACTCGATAAATCGAATAACTCTAAAGAAACCTGCGATATACCACAAATAAAAAAACTAAAAGATGGGGGAGAAAATGATAGTTTGGATACAGAAAGTTTGCACGACGACATCGGAAGTCACTCCGATGTTTCGAACGATTCCTTAGAGTTAGGTATACCCGAAGAACCCAAACGCAAATCTTCCTCGCTGGGAGATCTTACTAAATTAGAAGAAATAAGTACGAAAAAATCACCAACGCTATTAGAAAGAGCGGTATCGTTGGATCTGAAACAAGATTCCATTCCAGATTCCAATCTAGTGCAACAGAAAAAGATTTTGAAACCACCAGATTTCGATAGGAGTGACAGTACAGACGTCTCGACCGAACAGAACGGATCCATAGAAAACGATCTAAAGAAATGGAATGTTGGCGATAAGCAAATTAATATGAGTTCAACCGAATGTCAAAGCGAAATATTTAATGATTCACAGAAAAACGACGTTGAATTCGAAACTGCTTCGGAGCCTTCCACAGCCAGTCATTCCCCGAGTCTTTCTATATCTAGTGATAACGAAACAAAAACCATTACCTCAACACCAATAAAGAAAGTCATTCAGGCCGATACTTTATTAACGACTGATTTGAAATTAAATCAAGAACATAATCAGAATGGTGTACCTCGCGAAAATGAACACAAATTAGGAAAAAACCATACAGACAGTGCGATATCCATAGAAATTCCGGTGATTCCACCCGTCATTAAACAGTTAGAAAAGAGAGAACATCCTTCTCCGCCAGTTGTACTGCAGTCTTATCAACCATCCTCGCAGCAGAAAGAAGTGATAGAAATCAGCGAAAAAGAATTGGACAACATTATGATGTCCCATAAACAGTTTTTATTAAAGCAAGCAAAAGCTACCGGTGTATATACTAATTTAAATCCAGACGCTTCTAAAACTGATGCCGAGATCGAATTCGAATCGTGGAGCTATACAGACGAACAGAACAGTAAACAGACTATTAACGGAAACGAAAGTGATACATCAACCAGTCATTATAATACCGGATTAGAGATGTCTTCCGAACTCTCCGAAACAAAAGAAGCACCTCTGTGGAAACAAGCGGGATTATACGAAGAAGATAACGCTCCTTTATGGAAACAGAAAGACACATCTCAGGAATATACCGTAAGGACACCGGGAGGAGGATACACCAAAACAATAATCATCACTTCATCGGGCGATGTTCCATCCAAGGATCCCTCTCTTCCGAAATTACAACCGTCTTGTAACTGATTTTATACGGACGAACAATGACTTTTATGTCAAGTTGTCTGTCTCCCTAGGGAGATCTGGTTTGAACCGACTTTGCTCAATTTGACATCTGTAAAAATATTAAGTTGGACGGCTTTTCACACGACAAGCGTAACATACCCATTATAAATCGTGAATGATTAAGCTTTAAAGAGAAAAACCGGAGCAAATTAGAGTGTGGTTGGAGCTGGAATCGTTTACGAAACGGAGACACGCTGCCATTTTCAAACGCAGCTATATTGTAAAATTTTATAATTTTTACACGAAAACGTTGAAAAAAAGCACTTATTGCTGAATTTGCGAAAAAGTTTTTAAAACGATTTATTATTTAATGAAAACAATCTTCATAACGTTTTAGAATCAACAAGACCAATGCGTAGAGTTTAGACTACCTTCAATTTATTCCTCTTATTAAAAAAAAAAAAAAAGCAAGAGAGAAAGTATACTTAAAGCCATTTTACAAATTTAACAACTGACTTTTGGCAATAGAATTTGCCAAAATTAAAAAAAATATATATGAATATATTTAGTCCCAAAGTATCCATTTCTAACCATTAATCAAGTACTGGAATGAAATGATTCCTTTCTCAGGGACAGCCGAACAGGGCATCTCATGGAGTTATCTCGAAAGTGGGCCCTTACCAATCCGGCCAACAGAAGTGTCAATCATTCCATTTATAAAATCGTGTAACATGCTTATATGGGTGTTTATATTTTAATATCACTAATAACATTTTATTTTAAGAATCTAACTAGATAAAAATCATTTAAAAAAAATATTTCGGTTTTTAAAATATCCAAGGCGATAACTATAATGAAATTTAATGAATAACAACGAATGTTCGCGTAAATATTCCTCTGTCTTCAAATCAATTTGTTATATAAATATGAATAAGCATTTTTTGTGTGTATATCTGCAGATTTTCTTGTACATAATTTTTGTAATTTTTATGTAATCACGATTAAACAACGTTTTCCATAAAAACCTGTTTCTTTTTATACTCGTTGGAACATGATCTATCTGTACAATTTTGTAGCCAACACGTACATTTAGCCATGTCGAATTCCATCCTCTAGCATTGTCGACGCCCTTCCTGCCCATTGAATTCCGTTTGCACCCTAAAAAAAAAAAACGAACGACGAAATCCCATTTATGAAAAAATAATAATAATAATCCATTCGGATCTTTAGAACCCAAAGTAAAAAGGAAAAAAAAAAAATTTCATAATTCTGAATCGCTGTTATAGAAGTAACACAGTGCCGAGAATTTTTCCACGAAAACTCTTGGATAAAAAGTGTGGAGACAAGGCGACACCAGACAAGATCTATTTTTATTCTAGATTAACCGGGTATATTGCCACGTCCTCGATCTAAAAACTTGGTCTACCTAAGGCCAAATTTTACAGAGGACAAGACCGGTTGTTATAGCACGGTTCTAGTAGGACATTATTTGACACAGTAGCTTAAGCCGAATGTTTCTATTAAATCCGGGACGGAAAAGACCGGTGGAAAAAAAAAACCTAACTCGCTACTTTAAAATGTCTTTTTCTTTTAATTATTCGACCTCGAACTTGTGTTTTGGTTTGTTTACGCAATAAATTTTTCAGCTCGTTAACTTTATTACACGTGATTATTATAGCAAACCTTGAAACAATGATAATTAGAGAGAGTGAAAGGAGCGCAAAACATCAGCTGTTGGTTTTGTTCGAAAGTCGTGAAAAATATAAAGTAAAATTATTCATTCTAATGCGCATTAATTAGCATACAGTATCCAACATTCTATAGATAAATAACAGCATCTCCATCTAGTGTCAATCATGTTCTTAATTTGTTTAACATGCTTCCTATATAAACCCCTTTAATCACACACAAATTTAATTATTGTGGCAAGAGATATAAGAATTAAATTTATGTATAAACAAATAGATATAATGTATTATTAATTTATAAAAGAAACTTTATATTCTTCATTAAATAAATAATAATAATAATAAAAAGAAAAAAGTATGATCAAAATCTCAATTATTTTTGTAAAGTTCATAATTTTCTTTTGTAATTATTTATATAAAATTATAAAAATTAATAACTTCAAAACATGTTTTTAATATATTATCATTATAAATTTTATTTTTTGAATTATTAAAATAACATATATACATACAAAATTTAAATATTATTTTATTTTCTATTGTATCTTCATTTAAAAATATATGTTAATTATTAAAACTCTTACAAGAATATGTAAATAATTCTTCTAAAGTAATTATATGTAAATAATAAATTAACTTGTGTCTATTTATTATTGTGTTATAGTGAAATACTGCAAATTTCAATTCTATACTTATGACAATGGCATTATTAAAAAGTTATTTTTAATGAAAAACTTCTTAGAAGTCCTTAAAGTTTAAAAATAAAGAGAAATAAGGTTTTATATATAAAGAGTTGCTTAAATAAATTACCCTAACTTGTGTAATACAATTTATTACAAATTTTAACCACACAAGGATAAAAATGTTACAACTTTCAAACTATTCAATACCTTTACATATTGAAAATTGAATTCTGTATTGAGACTAAATCATATGTATTTTTTAAGTTTGTAGTTAATTATCTAAAGATAAAAAAAAAAACAAAAGAAGAAATAAATTAAGTGATTATTTTCAGTATCAAAGGTATGTGTTGGAGATAACAACAACATATACAATAATAATATTTGGTATCAGATAAAAATAAATATATAAATAAGAAATTACATTAAATTGTAGTATATTTCATATAATTTATGTTAGAAAATCTAAGATTTAGTGTTTATATATATATATATTTTTTTTTTGACATTTTATTGAATTTAATTTGTCTAAGTTTCAAAAAACTCAACATATTTCAGTGAATTTTCACTAGATCCATCATATTTGAATCATTGCCATAAACTGAATTTTTTCTGGGAGATTTCAAATATAGTAAACATGTACTTTGATAATTATTTTGATTTATAAAAGTCAATAAAAATTATACTCTATATACAGGCAGTCCCTGAGTTACAAATGCTCAACTTATGGACAATTTGAACTGACAAATGAGCTGCTGTAAAGCCTGATTTTATTATAACTTTTATTATTATGTATTTGGAGATGATTTGGAAGTATTTTATAAGCATAGAAAGTTAATATATGTACTATATACTAAGACAAATATTTAACTAAATATCCTCTAATTTACCTACAAATTCAACATAAAGATAGAAACAAAACTCTGCAAACTTCCTGTAATAAAAGTCTATAAGTCTAGTGACGGCCACGTGTTTGAAGGATAAATTCCACTCTCTCTAGTCTGGATGCTGTGTGACATTTAAACTAACCAAACCACCATTCTCTTGAAAACACGAGGAATTTAAANAAAGAGTTGCTTAAATAAATTACCCTAACTTGTGTAATACAATTTATTACAAATTTTAACCACACAAGGATAAAAATGTTACAACTTTCAAACTATTCAATACCTTTACATATTGAAAATTGAATTCTGTATTGAGACTAAATCATATGTATTTTTTAAGTTTGTAGTTAATTATCTAAAGATAAAAAAAAAAACAAAAGAAGAAATAAATTAAGTGATTATTTTCAGTATCAAAGGTATGTGTTGGAGATAACAACAACATATACAATAATAATATTTGGTATCAGTTCTTACCTGCATACTATGCATTGACGATGAGGAGATAATGCAGTAAGCATAACAACAAAAGAATAATTTCTTGGAGATGCTTTAACATACTGGCGAAATTTTTCACCGTTTAATCTAATTATTGGTCTTTTTGCACTCATATCCATTAACTGTTGAACTCTCTCTCCCAAAGTCTGAACCTAATAATAATAAAATAATAAATAAATTTTAATTTATTATAATTTTGATTAGAATTTATTCATTTAGTTGATACAAAAATTTTCAGTAATTATGAAATAAAAATTAAATATACAGCAATTGAAATGTGAATAATTCAGGCTATATACAGTATATTCATATGCTCAGTATATACTATTCTAATATACTATTCTGTTTTATGCATATAGATATTTATATGCATAAAACTATCTTTTAATCTTATTTTCTTGAAGGACAGCAATTTATAGGATACTAGTAGCCTGGGATACTAGTAGCCCACTAGGGGCGTTGTTTACAAATTTCCATGAGGCACGGTTCCTTTGACTTTTTTGTTCCTATCAATATGCTCTACAACTCTGTTAAAATCCGAATGGTAAGATTTACCCTCTGAATGAAGAGGTTTCGACCCCCAAACCGTACACCCCTGTATTAACAATAAAGTCAAAGGANTATATATAAACTTCCAATACAAACCAGAAGTTATATTATTTCAATTCAAAAATTTTCCCCTGAAAGGAGTTAGATAGACGACTGGCACGACTCCACTGCTAACAAAAAAGTATGATGTACAGGGGCAAGAAACTACTAATTTGAGGTGGATAGCATATATTTTAAAATCAAATAAGTTAAAAATATGATTAAAAATTGCAGCCTGGCATTGTCACAATGTCATAAATAATTGCTCATTAAGCTGTTATTTGATTGTTCAACGAAATAGTATCTGATTCTAATCTTTCTAATTGTTAATAATGGTAGTAAATTAAAATTTCTTTGATAATATTTCATCATTGTCTTCCCTTTCAGATAGCAGTATTATGTAAAAGTTTAAAACAAATCATTTAATTTAACTTTAAACACTGCATACAATTCAAAATCCTAAAATTTCAATATGGAACAAACCTCAACTAATGTAAACATTTTAATTAAACTAGTATAAATGTATTAAAATACTCTGGTTATTATTGAGATAAGTAAAAGCATGAATATTTAAAATAATTACATTTCAATTTTGACAGTCATAAAACAATGTAGAATGTTTTTTAAATGACTATTTCAAAATTGGTTTTATTTAATGCCATGAAATAACAGAATATAAATGAGATAATGTGTATAAAATTCCATAAAAAAACTAAGTTTAAAAAAAAATTTAATAATATTTTTATATATTTCAAGATGTTTCATAATGCAGTAAACAAGTATGGGAAATTACTGTGACAAAATCAGAAAAAAGGATAATAGTAATGTTTACTGTAGCTTTTTATACTCACAGTTTCTTTTCAGCAGTACAGTAGAACCTCGAAAACTCGGCCTAATGTGAACCGAAGGGTGGCCGAGTTTGTGAAAATGCCGGGTTATCGGGAATGGGTTAAAAAAATAAGTACAAGTGTTTCCTCAGAAAATACTGTACTGTACTTGTATGTATTGTTTACTTGAGAATATAACAGAGAATAAACTGCCCAAATACCCTTAAACAAAGGAAAAGTACATCCTTTATGAAGGCATAGAGCATTTACTACATAAAAATGAAAATTAATGAATACACTGTGTACAGTAATTTACCTGATAAGACAGACCT